TAGATATGTTCATTAAATTAAATATTTTATTTATTTATAGTCCACCTTTATTATTTTTATAAACAACTCAAAATGGGGAATACACACAATACTCCTTCCTCCTATTTTTCCCATAACAACAACACTGTGTGATGGATTGGGCTAAAAGAGAGTAACTGGCCCAAAGTCACCAGCGGGCTGTTATACTGTATATATTGATATCATATATATATCAATATATTGGATTGAAAGATTCAGTAGGCTTAGTAAATAGTCAGTGCTTGGCTAGTGTATTTAAAATAATTTTTCCTTCTTTTCTCCAGATCTAGTAGCTCTTCCAGATTTTCAGGCTGCAGGTATGGAAAATTGGGGTTTGATCACTTTTCGAGAGACAGCACTCCTTTATGATAATAATACCTCTTCAGCAATTGATAAAAAGAGAGTGACAGCAGTAATTGCTCATGAGCTAGCCCACCAGGTATGGAATATACTGTTCTTTGTACTATAGACATTTTTCTTTTAAATAATCGAAATTCCAAAACTGGTAGTCTACAAGCAAACTTATCTTTTGCAATTTTTAATCTATTGTTTTAATAAGCTAATTCTGCAACTAACACATTTAAATGGGAAGTGATTTCTCTATTTTTTTCCATGCCATACCATTTCTAGCAAAAGTACATGGCATACAATATGGGAGCAGTAGAATTGTGAATCCTGGAGTTACCTTATTTTAGTCTTCCTCATTTTCTGTTACATAGTCAAAATATATGAAAGACTTAAGGAAAGAGAAGATGTTTAAAAAATACATACTCATTTTGCACAAAAAAAAACATAAGAAGGTATCCCAGGCAATAACAAAGTGGAAATAGCTCTCAAGTTAGGTGGTTAATGTAGCTTTTCCTGTTATATATTGTCATAGTATTTTAATCCTCTGCAACCAGTATTGTGATATAGTTAGAACAATTTGCAGCACTATGTCCTGCAAGTAAGATATTTCTGAATATTTTGTTTAATTGAACATTAACACACCATAAGCTATCACCACAGGACTTATTAAACAGTCATATAGTCAATTATGTGGCTTTTTTTAGCCGAAGAAGTCTATATAGCCCCAGTACAAGCTGTTCTATTTCCTGTTGTAATGATTAATGTTATTTTGTGTAGCTGATACACTGTTTTTTGAGAATGTTTCCTTTTTTGTTTTTAAGATAGCATATGGTAGTCCCCTAGATGCCTTGAGCCGAATTCTTGGTATCTCTGGCTAGAACCAATAGACTGGAATAGATCTGGAAGTCCTTGTATACAGCTCAGCCTAGTGGTCCTTCTTTTGACAGAAAATGTAACAAACAGAGTTACAATATGTACTTTATGTTTGCAGTGGTTTGGTAATCTGGTAACAATGGAATGGTGGAATGACCTGTGGCTGAATGAAGGATTTGCTACTTTTATGGAAAATCTTGCCATGAAGATTGTCTTTCCGGATTTATATACTGTAAGTACATGGAGAATTGGTGGGTTTGCATATTTCTCATGTATTATTCTATGGGTCTAAAATCTTTTGACATGATCTGTCTTCCTATTTAGTCTCAGAAACTAGAACTGATTATATTATTTAGAAATTTATTTGTATAATTGAAGGCGTGGATGACCTTGGGAGAACAAGGAAAGATACTAGGAAACAATCAGATGAGAGGCAGGAGCCCCCAAGGACTTAACGATCAGAGAAAGAAACTTAGAAAAGACCTACCCTAATTCAGCAGATGGCTAAAAGTGGCAGTGGGAAGTTTGTACTTTCAGACTTGCAAGATTGATATTAATTTTCCCAGGTAAATCAGACAAGAAATACAAGTAGATGAGCTAAATGTAGTTTATGGTAAGTTTCAGTAATAAAATCTTGCAACTCTAAACATACAAATTTCCCACCTCAGCAGGCTAGGCCCAGCGGTGCACAAGCCTCCTGTTTTCCCACCACTATTCCCAAGTAGCCTGGCCTTCCTCTCACCCTCACCCCCCCACACATAAGGGTAGAGAGGCAATCCTTCTATAGGCTGGCCAGGAACAGGAATTTTGCTGACTGACTTCCTGTTGCTGGCCAGCCTCAAAGAAGATTGCCTTCATAGCTTTTTAGCTGAGCCTCTCATCAACTAGGCATGCCTATCAATAGCTGCAGGGAAAGGTGAAGGTAAATGGTTCTGGGCATGGTGAGGCAGAGAGAAGGCCAGTGGTTTGGGGGGAAAAGCCAGGCTTCTTGGGAGTGGTAGCTGGTTGAGGCCTTCTAGCTAATGTCAAGTTTCTGCACACCACTGGGCCTAGCCATTTTAGGCCTTCAGGGAGTGGTGCAAGAGAGGAAGAAAGCCAGACTTCTTGGAGTGATGGAGGGGAGGCAGAAAGCCTGCGCGCTGCTGGGCCTAGCTGGTTGAGGCCTTTCAGCCTGTAGCAGATTGCCTTAGAGTTGTGGGGAGTGTGGGAGAGTGCCAGGCTTCTTGGGAGTAGTGGTAGGAGGAGTAAGGAGGCCTGTGTGTCACTGGCATTCTGAGTGTGGTGGGGCAGGAAGAAGGCTTCTTGAGAGTGGGGTGATGCTCTTGGGCCTAGCTAGCCGAAGCTTTTCAGCCCATAGCAGGTTTCATGTACCAGGGAGTGCCCCTCAAGGGATGGGGGACTCAAAGGCCCCCCATCCCCTGAGGGACTCCTGCACATTTGCTTAACCACTACAACGGGAAGAGCTGGGATTGTGGTCATTGAGTAGCCACGTGGGTATCTTACTTAACAATCACAATAACCTATGACCAAAATTCTAGATTGAATAGTGGTCGTGGGGTAAGGACTACCAGTTTCAGCTTGTTTTGCCTCTTCTCAGGCTCATTATTTTCAGGAATGCATAAACTCTTTATCAGATGTTTGGACATCTGTATTATTTGCCTAGTATAACTTAAAGAAGCAGATTCAATAGTGCAATTGTTTATCCTTTTTCAAATATAAAACTGACCAAGTGACTTTGAGCCAGATGGTATTTTTCATCCTAACCTACTCCACAAAGTTGATGGAGAATATAATGAGAAACATAGTGGGTGTTTTGTCCTGAACTCCCAGAGAGAAAAGGCAAGTTATAAATGTAATAATACAATAAGAATAAGAATCTTTGTGATAAATACAATAATTAAAAAAAATTCTCACAGGACCCATCAGATAATTAGAAAAAAATTATTCTGATCTTTATTGACTGATGAAATTTATAATGTTAGTTAATGTTCATTTTAACTTAAATGTCTTTCAATTCCTCAGGATGACATTTTTTTAAATCTGCAATTTAAGACCATGGAGAAAGATTCCATGAATTCATCTCACCCGGTTTCCCTTCCTGTCAGTTCATCAGCAGAGATTGAACAAATGTTTGATGTAGTCTCCTACATCAAGGTAACTTCAGATGTCCTGTAAATATGATTTTAATAAAACTAAATGCATTTGCAAAGTTGACACAGATCTATTTCAAATCACATTTCTTAGTATGGGCAAGAAAAGGTCAGAAGCTGAAGGAAAAAAATATTTCAAGAATGAATTATGAGGGAGGTGTTGAGAGGAGAATATAATGGAAAATATATACCCTATTGGGAACTATTTTTAATCTGATTTTTTTTAGCAGACAAATGCTTGGTTTTAAATATCTCTTTAAAAACAAAGAGTTAGAAAGAATAATTTCATTCTCCCTTCACTGATGGCATCCTAAATAATTCCTAATTCCAGCGCTTTTGAATGTTTTTGGATATAACATTAAATCAGGGATAGGAAATCTATAGAATTTAAATAATTCCTGTGAACTAATTTTGCAAATTAATTTTTATGTTTCCTCTTCTCTGCCCCCCCCAATTAAATTACAAAATAAGGGCCAAGCCTCAGGGAGTCATTAATTTTTATAATGCCCCTTCTTCTCATTGTAGTAAACTTGCCATGATCAGTATCCTTTTGAAGGCCAGAAAACATTATAAAAGTTGTTTATAAACTACAGTATCTCTTAAAAAAGCTTCCTGCTCTAAACCATGTTTGGCATTATGAGAAGAAACCCAATTTTATTCTATACTTGCATCTTTCTAGTTCATTCTAGTTATCACTAATTGGTGTCACTAAATTCAAAACAAATCAAGTTTGTTTCCCCTTTTTCTTTGTTTTTAAAACCAACTCTTGCATATTCAAGTATAACCATTTGTGTATAACCGTTTGTTTTAAGTTAATCATCATTATGTAAATTGAAATTAGAACTGTAGTTTTGCATTTAACTTTATAATTTATTTTTCTTCCTTCAGGGATCTTCTCTCTTGTTTATGTTAAAAAACTATCTTCATAAAGATGTTTTCCAAGCTGGCATTCAGATCTATTTGCATGACTACAGCTATGGTTCCACGTGCAGTGATAACTTATGGGACAGTATGAATAAGGTAAATGTCTATGGATGCATTCTAAAGAAGAAGATATAACAATCAGCTAATATCAGCAATCAGTTTTCCATATATTTTAAGTTTGCTTTTTAGGATAAACTAATCACTATTTCCTTTAAAGGGACTACTATTGTTCCCTCCATTAAGGAGACATTTATAGCCTCATTGTTGCAGATGGAGATACCCTCGTTCTTGAATATAAGCTATGAAAAGCAAAGGTGAAGCAGACTGGCATCAAACACACTTCACTACCATCTTATCATTATCCTCAAGTTAGTGTAAACATTCAGTTCCCCAGGACCAGTTGGCTAAATGATCTGTATTCCTGAACTAGCTGTGGAATGAAAGCTTTTTATGTCATTGTTTAATTTCACACATACTCACTTGTATTTTAGCCATCTCCATTATCATTGTCTTCAGCTTAGGTATATACTGTGGAGCTGCCTACCTTGTCTTTAGAGGAAAAGACATTTTGCTCAATCATATTGCTGTGTTAATTTCTTTATTCTATAAAGTAATCAGAACTGTGGCAGAAATGCTTACCAGACAGTCACACATAAGTAAGAATAGATTAGAATTTCATAGACCATTTTCTTAGATTCCAGATCTCCCCAAAGGGGAAAGGTCATTTAGGTTTCAACTTTAGCAGGAGAAATTGAATGGGAAAAAGAAATACAGCAGATGCTTCCTTTCTTAACTATTTTTTATCATCCTTCTCCTGTGTGGATGTTTTTATATTCGGAGTGTTAAACATTACAGAGCCAATGTCTGTTTGTCTTTTGTAAAAAAGAAAGTTCTATCTCAACTGTCTTGCCTTGATTGTTTTCCCTCTGCAGGAGGTTTGATCAGATTCTGCTTTTAACTTTTGAGAAATTGTTTGCCATTTGATTAATTTGCTTTGTGGATTAGAAGATTCTTCTTTAGTACTGCTCTAATTCTAGCCACTAATCAGGAAGAAATCCGCCTCCAAGGGTTTTGTCTTTGTTCCTTGAGTAGTGGTTTAATTATAACCAGTAATTTAAAATGGGCTTCTTCAACTTAACACCCCACAGATATTCTGGACTTTCAGCCTTCAGAATTAGCAGCCAACATGGCAATTGACGTACTCCAACTAATTGGTAGAGTGTCAAGTTAGAAAACGCTGGTTGGCATATTACTCAGGCAGATCCCATTTCAGAAAACTAAATTAACCCTCTTTCCAAAACAGAAATGATAAAAACTCCTTAAAAATCATTTTATCATTCCATGACCCTGTATCTATAGTTCTTCTGTATTCTCTGTTATTATAAAAATGGAGTCTATTGAGGCTATTTTGCTATTAAGAGCTATATTGCTTCTATTGCTTCTATCTCTCTTCTTGGAGAGATGATAATTGAAGGAATGCTTAAAGTAGCATCTACTGTATACTTGCCATTTCAGTTTGATTTCTAAAATGGGTGATCTTGGGCCAGCTATGGTCTCTCAGCCCAACCCACCTCACAGGGTTGTTGTATGGAAAATAGGAGAAGAAAGGAGTACTGTATGTTTGTCGTCTTGAGTTCCCTAAGAAGTAATAAAGGCAGGATAAAAATCTAATAAAATTTGTTGGAGTAATTATGTTAAATCAGCTATGATCTTTCTAAGGATTGTATGTCTGCTGAAATGGTAGTAGCAAGTTCTGCAAATAGATGAAGCTGCATTAAGGTGTTGGAGACAATTGTTTGCATAATGTGTTTCTAAAGCAGTATAGAAATAAGGCAGAAAGTCTTAAAAAAATAGAACATATAGCATTAAACTATGATTGACAAGCTTTTATTGAGAATTATATTTCAACTCTTTATTTAGCTCTTTGCTTAATTACATGAAGCTATTGATTATGTTGCTATCACTATTTTTTGCATGTGTATCTATTTCCTAAGGTGACACATGGAACAGCTGATGTAAAAACAATTATGAACACTTGGACAAATCAGACGGGATTTCCATTGGTGACCGTCAAAAGAGAAGGAAAAACAATCCTTTTGAAGCAGGAAAGATTTGTGCATAATACAGAATTGAATGATCAGATCTTACCTTCAAGGTTTTTTCCCCCTTTTTAATTTGCATAGTTTAATTTTTCAGCCTGTGTTTTGGATTTTAAAAAAGGAAAAGGACTGATACATAGGATAACTATTAAATTGTGTATATATGAGGGAACAATAGTTAGATGGAAATCTAATGAAGACTTTGTTACCTTTCTTAAAGGTAGTTAATTTGTAAACTGAGCTGAGTTCCTGGTGACTCCATGGACACAGCTATATGGTTTTCTTGGTAATTATATCAAAATAGTTTACAGTTGCCTTCTGCATTTTTTTAAAAAATATCAGCATGGCATACAATCCTGAGATTTCCTGGTAGCCTCCCACCCAAGTGCTAATCTAATTCTGTTTAGCTTTTCAGATCAGTAAAGGTCAGGTCAGGTAAGTGCCATTACCAGGCTAGGCCTTACCTTTGCACTACTTTCAAAAGTCATCAAACATATGGACCAGGCAGGCAATAACACTTGCCACGTATAATGTCACATTAAATTGATAAGGCAGACATATTGTGAGGACATGATTTATATGATAGACATGATAGAAACCATTATTCTTTGTAAACTGCATTTTTTTAAATATCTGCCCATAGGTCTCTGTCAATATAATTTGAAGAAGAATAAATTTCATCTAGAAAATGCCCACAGCCTTGACTCTGATAAGAACAAATATACTATATAAATATTACATAAGGGAATCTGAGATTTTTTGAAATAAAAAATAAAATTAAAGTAGAAATGTTTTTTATATGACAAGTGTCAAAAACAGAATCAAGTGTCAAAAATAGAGAATCAAGAAATTCAACCTCAGGTTGCATACAAAAACACAGCTGTGATTTCGTATGTAACCTGAGGTTGAATTACTTGATGTTTTCTGTACCAAATCATGAATTCCACTATATTCTACAGAATATCAGGAGCAACACAAGAATCTGCATGTAACTATATTGCCATTAACTTCCAATCATTTTTCTTCATGGTGTCCTGTTTGGGACTCTCTCTTGAAATCCCACCTCAATAAATCTTCAATAAGCTTTATCTTTTTATTTTGTTTAAAAAGCGGCAAGGGAAAACAAAAACAAAAACAACCCTGTCTCTGATAATGTCATTGGGTCACTATGACCTAGTTTTTACCTGGAGGCAAAGAAAAGTTTTTTTTAAGGACAATCTCTGGCACAAAAAAATTATCTGCTCCTGGATTGGTGTGACCAGATTTAAATTAGAGAGGATAATTGTTTTGCAAAAAGCATAGAAGTACAGGTAGTCCTCAACTTACAATCACCATTAAACCAAAAATTTCAGTTGCTAGGAGACACAGTTGTTAAGTGAGTTTTGTCCCATTTTACAACCTTTCTCGCCATAGCTGTTAAGTGAATCACTGCAGTTGTTAAGTTAGGAACACAGTTATTAAGTGAATCTGGCCTCCCCATTGACTTTGATTCACGTGATCCCAGGACACTGCAACTGTCATAAATATGAGTCAATTGCCAAGTGTCTAAATTTTGATCACGTGACGATGGGTATGCTGCAATGGTTATAAGTGTGAAAAATGGTCATAAGTCATTCTTTTCAGTGCCATTGTAACTTCAAGCGGTCACTAAATGAACTGTTGTAAGTCGATTACCAGTAATAGAAAAAAGAAATTAGTTTGTATTCCTGAAATCACCTAGTTGCCTGAATATTTAAACTCTGAATAGGCAACTCTGGATACTTGAAGAATTTGCAGTTTGATTTCTATCATTGCACATTTGTTTTATAAATGTATATTAATTTAGGTGTAATCTCATAAACACGTAAGGCAATAGCTTCTGTAATATAGTTTCATCAGTCTTAATAAAACTTTGTGATCTAAAGTGTGTACCTTTTTGTTTTTCCCAGTTATCTGTGGCAGATCCCTCTTTCTTACATCACGAACAATGACAACTCATCCCTCTCTTTTCAGACATACTTATTGGATAAAAAGACAGGTATGCCGTTTGTCTTTTGAAAATTAGAAAATGCTGCACTAAGGGCAAATTTCAGTGGTTCTAATATGGTCCAGTCATGATAAAGCCATATTCCAGTCATCACAAAGAACTAACAGTTCTGAAGACTCCTAGCAACTCTGCTGTAGAATATTTTGTCTTATCTTGGGGTTAGCCTTTGGTATCTAGTCTAATACTATGGAACAAGGAAACTGGAACAAATAGGCTTCTGGTGTTAATCAGAAAAGTGGTCCTTATATTTTATATTTGAACAGTGTCAGCCTTACTTCTTCAGATGCTCTCGAGCAAAGCCTTGTCCTCTGATGTTTATGTATAATATATACATATGCATATATATATATTCTGTATACTGTTTAGATTTAGGAGTAAATCTGTCATAGCAGTTCTGAGGTTGTTACCAGTGAGAACTGGTAATGAATACCAGGTGACTTCTGTGACTTTTCAAAGAATACAGGTAGTTATGGCTGTCTGACTTAAAAGAGAACCCCTGGATACAAACAGGCTGCCTGTTACTAAAAATGGTAGACGGTGGTGCCCTTCCTCAAGCTGACGAAGTACTAAGGCCATGTGTTTTAATAGCCTATTTTCAGAAATTCCCTAAAGTATTGCACAGTTTTAGTGCTTTGTCAGCTAAAGAAGGACAGTGACATCCATCATTTTTAGTAGAAGCTGCTTGTAAGTATGAATTCTGACATACAGTAAATACAAATTTGGGTAAAAGCAGATTTCGGGAATTGAACTTGTTTTTAACACAGGGATTGTCTGAAACCAAATAACCGCTCAGCTTAGACCTGATGTTGTGAGAATAAATGAAATAAATAACCATATCGCACAAAGTTAAACTGTGATATTGAAAGTCGCATGTGCACAAGTTTTATGATGCTGTAGTGTGCTTATATATTAAGCAAATTTGACTTGTACTGCTTTTGGAGGAAGGTATCTGTATTAGGGACTGATCTATGAAAACTCAGTTTATGCAACTTTAGTACACTACAAAATGTCTTTTATAGCACTGAACATAAACTGTTTGTCACTGCAAGTACCCCTGATCTTCTGGAAGAAATACAAAGACAAATGTCTGCCCAAGTTTCTAATGTTTATCCTTGTGATTGCTTAGCAATTAGCATTGATTTAAACTGATGCTTTTTTCTTTTCTTTTTCTTTTTTTCTTTTTGCTTAGGTGTAATTGAGTACCCTCATGAAATAGAGTGGGTAAAGTTCAATGTGAAGGGAAATGGTTACTATATTGTGCATTATGCTGCTGATAATGACTGGATTGCTCTAATTGAACTACTGAAGACAAATCCCAATATTTTTGATGCCAAAGACAGAGCCAATTTGATTCATAATATATTTATTCTGACTGGGTAATTATCCAAAATGAAAATTTCTTTTTGTCAAATAAAAATTTAAATATGAAATATTCAACTATCACAGAGAATGGGATATACATGATATTACAATGTTTTAGAGATTCAGGAACTTGGTGAAACAGAAAAATAGCAGTTCTAGTTTAGAATTGTTTTTTGGGGGAGTTAAATGAATCTGGAATTTAACACAAAATAGTTGAGCAGATGTCAATAGCACTATAGTTATACCACTGTGGATGTTCTTCCTCCAAGTAGCAGCTCCAGTCATATGAATTCATAAAAACCATGAAAAGATTAGAAACAACATTATTCTTAGAAGAGCTTTGTGCTAGGAGAGTTCAGTTTTAAATAGACGCACAGATGTAAAAAAGAGATGGATATGTGATTATACAATTATGCAGCCATCTTGATTTTTTTGACATCCCTGGTGCAGATGCCTCTGTCTGATTGGTTTCCAGGATGAAATAGATAGCTTCTGATTTGATCTAAATTGAAGAAAACCAGGGACCTGGCTCCACATTTTGTGAGTGGTGCCTATTACGAATGAAAGCACATATACGTAGATTACGAATGAAAGCACATATACATGTCCCTAGATAATGTTGCAAGATCCAATCTCGGTCGGTCACCAGGACCAGAGGTTTAGTCTTCCAAGATTTCAGACGCATGCTGGAGTCCGTCCTCAAGAACTACTCTCTCCCCTGTAAATAATAAATAAATCTTATAAATTAATTACAAGATGCCTGTGGAACAGGCAGGGGAAAGAAAGGAAGAAAGAAGGTACAAGTTCAGCTATATGACACACCCTGCCATACATCAAAAACATTTCGGAAGCAGTAAAACACAGCTTCTGAGATCTGCAAGTGGGCATCGAACACTGCCCAGAGGCTACCATACAAGGACAAACCATGCATTGCAAAGATTGCTTGAATTTGGGAGATACTTCTAATGTAATCTACTGGATCCCCTGCATGTGACTAGGACAGATGAGGAGGAAGCCAACCACCACATTGCAAGAACAGAAGCGGGTGGTCAAACTCATTGGTAGCCTCACATTGAATGGACAAGGACATACATTCAATTTCACAGCTACTAAAATTGTTGGCCAAGCAGGCACAAAATTAGCAGCCTGGGAAAGGGCCCTTTTCAGTCAACAGGCGTGCTGATTTACTACCAGCTTATCAGTACTTCAGAGCTGAGGATTTGGTAGCACAAGAAAACAATAGCCAGTGACTTAATAATCGGCTATCAACACCCCAATCTACAACTAAAAAGCCACACAGATACAACCAGGCACCACATAAATACTATGCATAACATAGCCCAAAGCACACATTCTGATGAGAGACAAATTCCCTGAGGATGGGTTCCAGTATGAGTCTCAAAGCTTGGGTCCTGGTGACTGACCCAGATTGGATCCTGCTAAATGTAGCTCAGAATGTGTAACAGTTAAACTTCAGAAAGGGAACATTCTATTGTTTATTCATAGTTTCATTTTAAATGGAAAAAAATCTTAAATGGTTTGTTTCTAATATCATACAGGGAAGCTTCATTTATCCATAATTTCTTTCTGCCTCCCCAATCAATAATACTAGATAGTTTCTGCAATGAAGCTAGCTCAGAATTTATTTGGAACAATATATTTCAGTTTTAAAAATACAAATTTCCCCAAGTTTTCAAAATATAAACCTTTATAATATTAAACTTAGAATACTGGTCTTAACTTTTTTCTGATCTCTTTAGGGTAGGAAAAGTCTCTTTGACCATGGCTTTCAATCTAACGGACTATATAGTGAAAGAAAGCAGCCCAGCTCCAATCATGCAAGCTTTATACCAAATCAGTCGCATCTTCAATTTAGTTGAGAAAAGGGGAATGCTGGAACTCTCCTCCAGAGTGTTGGTAAGTTCTTGAAAATAGGAAAGTAACAATTGTGTGATAGAAAGTTATACAGGTAGTCCTCCAGTTACAACCATTTGTTTAGTGAGTGTTCAAATTTACAACGGCACTGAAAAAAGCGACTTAAGACTGGCTTTCACAGCATCCCCATAGTCATGTGATCAGAATTTAGGTGCTTGGCAACTGGCATATATTTATGACAGTTGTAGTGTCCCAGGGTTGTGTGATTGCCATTTGTAACCTTCCCAGCTGGCTTCCAACAAGCAAAGTCAGTGGGGTGGGGGGGTGGGGAAGCTAAATTCACTTAACCGCATGATTCTCTTAACAACTGCAGTGATTTTGTTTAATAACTATGGCAGAAAAGACTGTAAAGTGGGGTGTAGTTCACTTAACCATCTTGCCTAGTAACAGAAATTTTGGGCTTAATTGTGGTTGTAAGTCAAGGACTACCTGTATTATGTAGTAGGATAATGTCCGAACTGATATGTCTTTATATGGCATTTGTTTTATTTTTGTTTAAAAATGCTATGCTTTTAATAGTTTATAATTTAATCTACAGGCATTGTCATTTAAAAGTGCGTTGTAATGACAAAACCATCTGCTCGTAACTGCATCCTTTTCTATCGTGTGTAAATAAATATGGATACTTAGAACGGAAGAAACAGCATATGGTTGCTTTCATTTCTTCATGGTCTCAATATTTATAACTGCTGTCTCTTTTAGTGCTATGATAGTGAGGGAATACTATAAATCTTATTTCCAATAAATAGGGTTCTATGAAGTTATAGTTTTTTCTACTTACATCATTCTGGATTTCTAGTACAAATTCATTCACCTTCACATCATATCATCAAACTAATGTTGCACAGTAAATTCTGAGTGTCTAGCAGATCTCTCTCACGCATGGGATCTTTGATGCTCACTTTGGAGTTGGTATAGTTCTGAATAGATCAGGCTGTGTAATGGTCGACAGAAGTGAAGAAGAATTAGTCAGGTTTTGCTCAGATCTCTGCTCTACATAATTTTTTATTGTAAATTTTGAAGTTAGTCATAGCACAATTGTAACAAAGCTTTTTCTATTGACCAGTGGTAATCTTTCTCTTTTGCTATTTTCTAGTATAGGATTGAAAAATTATTTGGAGAGAAGATTGAGCAACAAACATGGAACAGTAATAAGACCCTCTCGGAACTAGAGCTACAGTCAAGTCTACTAAATTTTGCCTGTTCCTATGATTTAAGAAGCTGTAGTTCAAATGCTTCTAATCTATTTGACAAGTGGAAGGACTCCAATGGGACAGAAAGGTAAACAATAAAAAAAAAATCTTACTTAAATTACCTTTCTGCTTAGGCGCTGGGATATTACTTCACCATCACCAAAAAAGTGACAATCTTGTTTTAAAATCGGTATATATGTGCAAATGTTTGTTTTTCATTTGGGGAAGAAACTTTACTATGGGTACACAGTGAAAACCTGGGCACTTTATATGACAACAAACCCAATTTCTGATGCTAATTACAGGTAGTCCTCAACCTACGACCACAATTGAGCCCAAAATTTCTGTTGTTAAATGAGACATTTGTTAAGTGAGTTTTGCCCCATTTAAGACTTTTCTTGCCACAGTTGTTAAGTGAATCAATGCAATTGATAAGTTAGTAACCCAGTTGTTAAATGAATCTGGCTTCTCCACTGACTTTGCTTGTGAGAAGTTCGCAAAAGGTGATCACATGTCCTGAGACACAGCTACGGTCATAAATATGAACCAGTTGCCAATTCACAAATCATGTGAATTTTAATCATATGATCATGGGGATGCTGCAAAGGTCGTAACTGTGAAAAATGGTCATAAGTCACATTTTTCAGTGCCATTGTAACCTTGAATAGTCACTAAACTGACTGTTGTAAGTCGAGGACTATCTGTATTTGAATTAGTCACAGACCTGGCTTATCTCTTTATGCAATGCCATATTATCTAACTGACTTTGCGCTACCATGTACTTTGTACCATAAACTACAATAGATACCATAAAGCTATCTACTGCAGTGTATAAACCATGCTTTGTAATTCAGTGTATTTTGTTAGCACAACCAATTTTTGAAATTTTAGTAAGCCATTCTTAGGCAAACCTTGACTGAATAATATGTCTCAACACAGTTCACTGAAAGTTGTTCTCCCTACACTGCTTGGGAAGTAAAGCTCATTTTGGCATGGTGCAAAACATTAAGAACAAATTATGCGCTCATTTACTAATATATAAAATGAGAACATTTTCTTGAACTTGTAGGGATAGGTAAGACTCTTCACATTTTAAAGTATTTCTTTTCATCCTGAAGAACATTTCTTTCCAGTTCCATCAAAGTTTATAAACTTCATGAGTATTTTCTTTACTAGGAATCTTCACTGTCTTTCAGAGCGGATTGTATTCCCATTACTGCTATATTAATACAATGCTGATTGGATAAACATATAAGACAACAAAGACCACTGGCTGGTCATATATGAATGAGAGCTGAAGACTGCATGTAGTCAGCATGCTGTCATAAGTCTGACTAATGAAACATTTCAAATATTGAATATTCTTGCTTTGACACAGGCTATCCATCCCTGGTCTAAGAATTTAACTTTATTTCTGTTTTAAACACCATTCTAGGATCACAGATGCAAGTAGCCATATTAAGACACTTTTGAATCTTAACATGAAATAGAAAGCATTTGGTGCAAGAATACCCCTCCCCCCCCAAAAAAAATTCTTCACAATGAAGAAGGAAAGAGCCAGTGGAGTTTATTGCTGGCCAGGAAACATAAGAAAGCCAGTTTGGTGTAGTGGTTAAGATATTAGGCAAGAAACCAGGAGATTGTGATTTGTAGTCTCACCTTAGGCCACGGGTGTCAAACTCGCTACCTCACGTGACGTGTCGCAACATATCGTAATTCTTTTTGCATTGCTGGCAATGGGGTGGGCGCAGCTTCGGTATGATGAAACCGGCCAGTGGGCCGGCAGTTTGACACCTCTGCCTTAGGCCAAAGTTAGCTGGGCTAGTCGCTTTCAGCCCTAGGAAAAAGTCAGTGGCAAATCATTTCTTTAAAAAATTGCCAAAAACTGCAAAGGCTAATCCAGGCAGTTGCCAGGAGTCAACATTGACTCAAAGGCATGCAGACATATAAAAGGCTATGTAACAATAATATATTGCCCTTCTGAAGACAGGTACTATGGAAGTTCTCGGTTGTGCTTGCATTTCAATAGCATAGCAAAGAATGGGAGCAGGATGGTATCCACTTAATATTTAATTAATTTATTCGATCACTGTTATAATCATTTGAGTAATACACTATTATTTTTTAACCCTTTACACTCTTCTCTGATGCTGATGAACTGTCAGACTTGTCACAGAACTTGGAAGAACAAAAAAGCAGGGTCCAGCTCAATGTCTGTCAGAAATGACTGTTGCTGAAAGAAAGACATTGATAGTGTCAAATATAAGGCATGAAGCTGAGAGATAGGAATCACCTATTCCCAGGCCTATTAGACCTTTTATGGCATCTCAGTCTCAAGGCCGTTAGGAAAATGTCTAAATAGCAATGACTCGAAAAGACCTAGTATTAAAAAAAATCTAATCTAGCTGAGCTGTGCTTGTGAGAAATTACTGAATAACCAGTTCCTGAACAGAGGATTATTATTGGGAGCGATTTACAGCTTTGGCTCTGTGAAGCCTGAAATCAGAAGTTCAGTTTTGCTGGTAGTTGCAGTTGTTTTTGCTTGGTTCTATCTGGGCCAGAAGCCAATACTTGAAGCTTCTGTGAGCAACAAGTGTGACTCAGCCCAATATTAGTTTTAGTGTCTGTCTTTTTTCCATTTTGCATAACAAAATGAAATTCTGAGTATTAAATAACTTTAATTCTTCATTCCCAAATGAAAACAAGAAGAAAAGACTGAGAACAAATGGCAAAGAAAAAATGACTGAGAACATGAAAAAGACTAACTACAAGGGGAATATCCGTGTCCTATTACAAATTGCTCTATCAGTTAGCATTCATACTGTTTTTATGTTTAACATGGATGTTTATATGAGATTCTAAGAATACATATGCATTCTTTTTTTATGTCTCTGCAGCCTGCCGACAAATGTTATGAAGATCATATTCACAGCTGGAGCAAAAACTGAAGCTGGCTGGCAATTCCTTTTAAAAATGTATTCCTTTGTGGATTCTGAACCAGAAAAACTCAAAATTCTTGAATCACTGGCCAGCACAAATGATGTTAAAAAACTCATCTGGTACAATTCCTCCTCCTATTCCCATATGCAGTACATTTTTAAAATTGAAGATTTTAAATCTTAAATAAAAGTTAGTTTTCTAGTTATGGTCAGTAATCATTGGTTTAACATTTAAATTTGATTATAGATTCCTCTACATCATTGTACAAAGAAGAAAGTACATGAACATTTAGCATGCTTTCTGTAATCTTTCAAATCTTTTACATTCAATGAGAGAAATGCACTGACATCTGGATTAATGAACAGATGTTTTGGCTTATAAACACCTGTATTTGGGGAACATTGTTTCTTCCCTTAATTATATAACTTAATTGCTTTAAAGTTGGTAAAACAGATTATGCTTTCTATAGCTCTATTGTCTTATAATTAGAATATTCAGAGAGGTGCAATTGCAAAGTTTTAGATAACCAGCATCATTAAAGTGGCTCTAAATTTAATAAAGTCAATTAAGTTTTTAATCTTCAACTGAAACTAAGTAAAAAGAATATGTTTTTCTTTCTTTTTTTTAACAAATTTTATTGGTTTTCCAGTTTTACATTTAAGTATTTGGAAAGCAGCGTGGTGACTGGGTAATCAGTGGTTCAATAACAAAATCTTTAGTACATATCTCAGGTTACATCATAAAAAAATCCTTCTCTATTTCCCTTAACATTTGCTATATCATATTTAGGCTAGTAAATTTTTAATTATGACAAACTTAGTTAAAACATGTATCAATATATTTTTTGCTTATACATATCCATGTCCTGTTTTTAAGTTTTACCTAATTTTTAATTTTTAATTACAATATTCCAATTTAATCTTTAATATCCATAGTATTTAAGTTTCAGGTAATCCAAATTTCCTTTATTTCACTACATAAAAAGTCATCATATCTAGAATACACATATTACTTACTTAAATATATTCTTATTTTATTTCATAAACATTTTCTATTTCTCATCCTAATATATCACCTACTAATAGAGTATCCTTTATTGTTTCAAGTCCATCATCTATATCAGTGGTGGTGAACCTATGGCACGCGTGCCAGAGGCGGCACTCAGAGCCCTCTCTATGGGCACGCACGCTGTTGCCCCAGCAGAGTTCGCCAGAGTAGCGAGCACGTGGCGTTTGGAAGCGACAGGGCAGGAAGTGAGCGAGCAAGCGAAGTTGGCCCCCTGGGATGCCATGCTCACCCAGTCTGCCATGACCACTGCAGCCATGCCCACCCAATGGGCCACACCCCCGACCCCCCCTGAGGGCACCACAATGCTGATGCAGCCCTGGCACTTTGCGATAAATAAGTAGGTTTTGGGTTGCAGTTTGGGTACTCGGTCTCAAAAAGGTTCGCCATCACTAATCTATATTATCTGGGCTAAACAATAGTTTGAAGCTAATTCCTAATAGTTAGTTTTCATTTCCCTTAATAAATTTAAATCCTAAATATTAAGCCAATTCCTTATTTTTTTATCATTTTTAACAACAATATTTAAATCCAATAATCATATTTCCCTTCATCTAAAAATCTCCCTTTAGCCCATTAGTTGAGACTTTAGGATCCTCTATCATAAATCAAAAAGATCCCATTTTTAAAAAAAATCTAACTCTGGCTTTCTTTTTGTGCAAACCAGGCTTCCATACCAATGCCTTTAAATCATCAGATAAATCTCTCTTCATTCTTGTACATGTTACTTGAACCAAGGGAGACCATCTAATTATCAATTTTCCAGAGAGGCTGGCCCAGTTAAGTTGTCCTGGTGGCTCCTTCAATTCGGTTTAGTTTTCTTCCTCAGGTTTCTTCTGGTTTAGGTAGAACATCATGTCCAGTTTTATGGTTGTTATTTGATCATCTAGGTTTTCAGTATGCTGTATTTGTTGGTCTTTAACAGCTTCTGTCTTGGTGTTGCTTTGTTCCACTTTTGTTGCTTTTTGGGTTGTAGATTCTTTAATTGCAATCAGGGTTTGTCTGTCAAAATTTTCAGTAGATTGTATTTGTTGATCTTAAAGTCCTCTGTTTTGGTATTAATTTCTTCCACTTCTGTTGGTTTTTGGATTGTAGGTTCTTTCGTTGAAATCAGAGTTTCATTTTGTAGGTTTAAGCTGGCGCCTTTGTCTTTCAGTCTGGATTTAATTATCTCAGTAGCTTCAATAATTTTTTCAAGTATAAGTTTATAATTAATTTGTTGTTGGTCTTCCTCCATTTCTAACATAGTTATAGATAGTCCTTTAGTGAAGGCTATTTTTTAGATGAAAATCAGTAAATGTTCACCTTCACAGTTCCTAAAAACCAATTTCAGTGTCCAGCTGTTCTCCTAGCTTTTTATCTCTTTTAGATAATACCAAGGACAAATCTGGGCTGTAAGCAGGTCTCTTTAACAAGAGTATTTACTTTAACAAGAGTATTTACCAAGCTTCGCCACAAGATGTCCCCGACGACATTTAAAATCTTTTTCAAAAACAAGGGCTAAGTTTTTATCCAGTTTAAGTTCTTTTTCATCTTTTTTACAAGTAGGTAAGGTGACAGGTCCCTGTGAAAGTAGGAATTTTTGGTCCCCAGATATCAAGGTAATATAAATCCAGTTACTTAGTTGTATTTTTCAGGGCTTTATTTTCTCTAAGTAGTCAGACGCCACCATTTTAGAGGTGGGAAGAAGACGTTCCCTTCCCTCTGTCCTCGCAGGGGGAAAAAGTTTCAGAAGGCTTTTAACAGGAAAATACTTAGAATACAAGAAGGTAAAGTCTCACCCAGTTCTTCCGCAGTGTTTTCAAAGTGCTTGGTTGTAATTTTGGCCTCGGCAGGTAGTGGATTAATGATGGACCATGTGAATGGCCGATCATTTCCCTGTCAGTCCGAAGAGCTGCCCCAGATCAAACGGAAGGGCTGCCGCCCTTCTGTGATCAATCGGGAGGTCCTCTTCATGCTCGTTGCCCCTCCAAGGTGACTTTCGACCCCTTTCAGGGTCCCCCGGCAGGAGAAAACCAGACGGCGGAGGGAGCAATTGCCCTGCACGTCCACCAGCGCCGTGATCACGAACCAGAAGCTAAAAGAGTATGTTTTTCTTAAACATAACAGGTTCTCAACTATACAATGGGATTTGGTGAACTATTTCTTAGATTCAGGTTCACATTTGACCTCCATCACCAAGGATACCTCTCAGACTAACCCACTTCAAACAGCTTCCTTCTTTAGGAGCTCAAGGATATGTTATACTATTATGGTCTTTGCAGTAGTAAATAATTTACTGCATTGATCTCAGTATATTGAGAACTTTGTCAGCTAAGAGCATGCTCATGTTATAAGACACACACACATATACACTTTACCTTGAGTTTATTAATACAAGAGTGTTGTGCATTCATTCACATGACTCCAAAATGAGCATTTCTTTTCAAATTGTTAAAGCAGCAGTAGCATCTTTAGAAGCTGTTCTTGGCTTTTTCTGTGTGCTTTGCAAAAAGGGTAGGCCTATGCTTGTATGTGCATGCATTTTCATGCATCTTCTATATTTTACTATATATTAGGCTGCTAGGAGATTTGTGATCTGAAACATTTTGTTTTGGATGTCCATGAAATATCTTTTATTTAATCATCTAAATAGTGGCCTGTGAATTGGAATACATATATGTATCCCCCACCCCAAAAATGTCAAAAGGAGCCCTTTTTCAAGTTATAATTTGAAGTACTACAGCTGATATTTGACATAGTTTATTAAACTTGTATGCCACTTGACTCTCACAACTCAGGGCAGTTCACAATAATAATAAAAATACAATAAAATCAATAAAACAATAAAAATAAAAGATGGCAGGCATGATAATATATAATCAAATACATGTGTTTATATATATACAAATAATCTTCCATTCGTGTAGCAACTATCCAAAGTTATGGCAGTGCTGAAATTATAGATGATATAGTTCTCTGGAAAAAGTCTACATACATGCCTAAAAATGTGATTTTCTTGTTTTTTATTTCATAGGTTAATGCAAACAAGCCTGCAAGGAGTTGTAATCAGATCACAAGATCTTCCAACGGTCATAAAAACTATCAGTCAGAATTTGCCTGGACATTTATTGGCATGGGATTTTGTCAAAGAAAATTGGGATCAGCTTATCAAAAAGTAATACTTTGTTTGAATTCTCATTATAATAATTCCTTGTCCCCCTACATGAATCAGCTATGAAACAGGTAGTTGTTAACCTCTGACATGAGTAATTATTCTCTTTGGACTCACATTGGTTTCTTACATCATCCACTGTGCCCTTATCACTGTCTAGAATTAATACTAGACAACACTGAGTTGTTTAAAGACAGTTTGATTTAATGCATGGAGATATGGCATCTTCTGACAAACATGACATTTAAGAGCCTTTACTATGGTCTTCTCAATTTGGTACCTTCCAGATGAAGAAAACTACCCAGCATGCTTATTTTAATTGTAAGTTGGATGAGATTGATTTAGATTCTTCTGTACTCCAGATACAGTATAATTCAGCTGCTGCTATCTGTAAAATGCATGAATGGGAGAGCATATGGTTTGATACCCTGTATTTTCTGGAATTGTGAAAAGTATTGAGCATATTAATGATTTTACCAAAGTTTGTTTTGTGTGTCTGATGATGAATGTAAGATAATTGATTCTGGAATTTCTCTGAGCCTCAAAATTGGATTAATACAGGTAGTCCTTGATTTAACAACCATTCATTTAGCGACCTTTCAAAATTACAACAACACTGAAAAAAGGAACTGCCTTGCTTAGCAATGGAAATGCTAGCCCCAATTGTAGTCAGAAGTTGAGGACTACCTGTGTAGCTAGTGAAATATATATCAGATTAACATAGATTAATGAAACAGATTACTCTTGTTGCATTTTTTTCTAAATTTCAGGTTTCATCGTGGATCATACACTATTCAAAGCATTGTAACTTCAACAACGGGTCAGTTCTCAACACCAGAACATCTGCTAGAGGTTAGTTGGATAAATTGTTCTGAAAGTATTGTGGAATAATACTGTCACTGAGGTAGAAAGAAGGCAATATGTAATACAGATTACCATTCTATATTATAACATTGCTTCACAATAGTAATAATTGTGTCAGGCACGAAAGACCAGGTCCACACGTGAAGGGTTAATTTAACCGATTTATTGCTAAAAGCCTATGCGCAAGAATCAACTAAAACCATACATTTTAAGTTGAAATTCAATAAACCAAAATGGGAGGAAGGAAATATGCATGGGGATGAGGTGGACTCTGTCTAATCTATTAACTACCCCCAAGATGCCACTCCCTCATTGGGATTCCAGGCCAGCTGGCAGAGCCAGGCTTTCAAGCTCTTATGGAACGCAAGAAATTTTCATAGAGATCTTGGGGATAGAATAACGTGAAAGATTTTTTTTCAAAATCAGAGAAGCTATTTCTTTTTTTTTTTTTTAAATAAATTTTTTATTAATTTTTCATTAAAAAACAAAAACATAAGTCTTTTATCACAATATCAAGCAGAAAAAAATCAACATCAAACAGTACATTCACAGACGTGTCCGGTGTCCCCCTCCCGCACCCCCCTCTCACTTGCCTACACCTTCCTCCTCCAAGAGAAGCTATTTCTAATAGGGAATCATTAAGATAATTATTTAATGTCTTGAATTATGTGAAATACTCTGGATTTCAAAAAATTACCATTTCTGTAATGTAATTAGGACTGAACTATAAAGCACAAATAGTTAATATGTAATGAAATTTTCATTTCCTATTTCATTTGCTGATACATTTAGATAACAGCTGGTTGGACTATTTTTAAATGTTTAAGGGATTATTTCTTTTCATTGTCCTGAGATCTTTCTCTCTTTCTTTTTTTCCTGTGTTACTTTTCTTTAGGTTAAGTCATTCTTTGAATCAAAGTCAGAGGAAACTGCTCAATTGCAATATGTCCAAGAAGCTATTGAGACAATTCAACTGAATATCCAGTGGATGGAACAAAACTTGGCACTCCTTGAAAAATTGCTATAGTAATCACAATTCTCTTACAACTTGTATTAATCACTAGGAATGCTGCAACTCTTGGTCTTTTGCTTTTGCAAAAAAAAAAAAGTTAAAGCAATGCAATTTTTGTTTTTGCACTGTGTGAGAGGGTTGTAGTTAGCTCAGGGTTAATCTCTTCTGAATTGGCTCTCTTTGGAGTATTTGTGGACTGGACATACAGTAATTGCTAATTAAGGGAAAAGCTCATTTTGACCAGATACTTACATCAAACAAGGATACTGTAATAACTTTTAAATTTTAAGTACAGTTCCCTTTCATTGTAGGAATATGGAATTCCATTTCTACATATACAGTACATTCTTAGTAAATGAAAAGACAAGAGAGCAAGACAAACACTCCTGAGACCTGTTTTTTCTTTGCAAAATTTAGTTTGGTCTTTCTCATTATGCATAGTTTTTTGAAATGTAAATAATGTCTCTGTTGTAAAGCATTTTTATCACCATTATAAGCAGTGGCTAAAACACAATAAGGTGAATAGGTGAAGTAAAAAGTAAGGTTTGTGGAGTTCTGAGTTTTGATTTATCTAGGTCAGGGGTTGGCAACCTCGGCTCTTTTATGACTCATGGACTTCAACTCCCAGAATATCTGAGCCAGCCATGCTGAGGGGAAAGGGAGAGGTTTCCAAGCTGAGCCATGCTGGCTCAGGAATTCTGTGAGCTGAAGTCCACAAGTCATAAAAGAGCCAAGGTTGCCTACCCCTGATCTAGGTATTTTCCAGAAATTATGCAAATATCAGAATGTTTTAATTTGTGTACAACATGGCTAGATGTTACTAGTACTGTGTACTGAATAAGTTAAATTACCTTTTGTAAACATAAGTAAAGTGTTAAGAGAGATATACTGAACCTGACCATAGAGGTTTTCAAAAAGATTAAAAATTATAGGTTGAAGAATGTTTTATACAGTTTTCAGATTCCAGTTTCGTTTCTTCCTTTGATATAGCTTCCTAAAAGTATGTAGTACACTGATTCACCAATCTCAGAATGATTGGTTTGGTTTCAATTCCTTTCAATACTGCCCTGATCTTTCACATTTTTCTGTAAATAGCTATTTCTGAAAGTAGATCATGCCTATGCTTTGACCAAAGTCACTTTTTGTTAAATCATGAGACATGCTGTTTATGTCATTCATCCTTGTTTTAAAACTTTTCACCAAAAATAAAGCATGCCATATTATTATAACAAATTAACCCATACTTGTGAAACTCTTCTACCCTGTGCTGACCTTTATAGTAAAGTAAGAAATTGGCATTTGAGACATTATTGTCAACAATTTTATATGTTATTCAATATAATTCTAAAATCCCCCAATAAAATGTTACATTATAGAAGAATTGAGAGAAATAAAAACAGATTAAAAAATGAAATGTGTTGATTTAGGCCAGCTTCCCCAACTTGTCGTTTTTTAAATGTTTTAGAACTATAAATTCCAAAATTCTTAGCTATCATGTTGAGATTTTCAGTTCTGGGATTTGTAGTTCCAACACATCTGAAAGGCTGCCAGATGGGTAGTGCTTTCAATCATTTGAACAGCTATAGAGTACTTTCTAAATTTGTTGCTATCAAAGGGGATAATCTAATAAACTCTATTCAAGCAAATATGAACTTGGAAAGATATGGATCCAATTTGACGCTGCTTTTGAGACATGTCTTTTTCTCAGGATTGGGGGGGGGGAGAAATCCCATTTTTTCCTGATATGTATATAGATTCTACTATAGAAACAATCAGGAGTTGGTTCTTTGGTTCAATATTTTACTACTGATTTTACTTCATTTTTCATGAAGGATTACATACCCTGGAACATTTTAGATCTGTGCCATAAAATCCAATGTTTCATAAATCAGTATTAGGTAGCATGTTTTCTTTCTTTATAGGTATTCCAGAAATTGAAATATAAGTGGGGGAAAGCTGATATGTCCTTTGTGTTACAAATAATTCAAAGTGAGGGACATTGCTGAAGAATATACAAAATTCAGTGTTTGAAGCACCTTGGGGTCAATAAAAAAATACAGTTTTTTAGATTAAGAGAATCATTTGAAACAAATGATTAGTTATGAATTTAATGTAAAAACATAAACTAGATAAGTTGTTTTAATTATATTTCAATTATATTGAAAACAGGGAAAGGAGAAAAATATATCTAGTTTTAGTACCTCAGACTGTCTAATATACTGTTTTCATTGCCACTTAATAGCTCAACTCTTAATTTTGGTTTAAAATAACTCATCTTGATAACCCCCAAAATGAAAATTGTTTGACTTCACAATGTGAAAAACATCTAACTTGGTTGTTACAGAAGGTTTGCTATATTTCTCTCATATGTTTTGTATATTTCTTTCTTTCCTTCCTTCCTTCCTCCCTCCCTTCCTTCCTCCCTCCCTCTCTGCTTTTTTGTTGGATCATTCGACACTTAAAATCATATATAGTTGTATTTGCTACTGGAAATGTGAAGTGGACTTGAAAATGTAGCACATATATGTTCTAAATTAGAATATTTTAAGTGAAGCACTGATATTATGAGAATACTTTCAATTATTTATCTTTTTTAAAATGATTGTGGCTTGATTTTGATTTACATTTGATTAATTGTGCTTAAATGGAGAAACTATTTAAAAATAATAATGTCTGGATTTGGGATTTGGTCCTTATCAAAGCAGTTAATACACCTATTTGTTTCCAACAAAGTTTGATTTCCAACAATGGATAATCTGGAAGAGTTGGACTTTCTGTGCATATGCATTTGTACGTATATTGAAACCATAAATGATAGGTATTATACTTTAAAAATAATTGCCTTGAGTCCATTCAGAAGAAGAATTTTCTGTAATAGTATGAAATGCTTTTATCCAGTTCAATTATTAGGGATGACTTTAATGGAATAGAGAATTTTCTACATCAAGGATTAATTAAAGTAATTTGAATGCCCTCAATTTTCTTTATGGCTTTTTAGCTTAGAAATGCCCGATTCTAAAATCTTGATCAAAGCTTTTGTGCTGCTTCGAAATCTTAACATTTTTTACATGTATCCTGTCGGAAGCGGTAGTGTATTTTGTTTTGAATTTTTTCCCCCCTAAAATCACTTACTTTACTATAGAAATACAGCATAGAGTGATACAAACTGTATATTGTACCTCCAATCCCCCAATTAGGTTCAAAGCTTTCTGTAATAGATGAGATTGGTATTGGAGGAAAAAAATGAACAAGATCAGTTGGTTGTGTTTTCAATCTGTTTGAAAATATAGTTCATGTGCCTTAAAGTATATTATAAGTATTGTAAAAATATATATAATGAAAGTCTATTTTTCTTAAAAGCCCTTCATAGTTATGAATCTCCATAACTTTGAAGATTATTGAGAGCTATAATGTTAGCACTTAATCAGTGAAGGAAAATCTTTTTGTTCAATTTATCAACATGTCAGTTTGAATGTCTAAAAAACCAAAAAATGATTTTGGTCTTTGTAGCCATGGGTCCCATAGAACTTTAAATATCCAAGGGCATTGTATATGAATGGCTAGTTTGTTCTCTGTGGTGTTAAGAAGTGTGTATACTTAAAATGCACATAAAGCATTGTGTGTTTCTGTATAAGTTTGCATTGAAGCATTTTATTAAAGAGATAATTAAATAAGACTTAGTCCCAATAATCTGGCTTTGTGGATAAAATGTATGGCTCTATATATTTGAAGCACATCTTTTAAGTCTACAAACTTTGGAGAAATACTCAATTATTTGCATCTTAAATATGTTTATATAAACATCCATACCAATATATGTATGTATCACAGATAACTTTTCTGCCTATTTTATTTCACATTGAAATCATAATCACCCAAAAGTTTTAGTTGTGGTTCTCAAAAACCAGATTATTTTCAACATGTTTGGGGAGAGAGAAAATTACTAGATACATATAACTGGAGAGTCATTATAGTAGCTATATTTAATTTTTTTTAAATGTAAAGGAAATATCATTTTTATCCTGTCTCCACCTATTTGATTTTGGAGGCCCCAGTTGTGCTACCAAAAGACTAAATTTAATTCTTGGTCCAAAAAATAGCCCAGATCTACTGCTTTAAACATGTATGTGCCTCTTTCTCAAAAGTTGCACTGGATATGGGGAAGTCATACACTAAGAATAGGATTGGTATGTTTGTTCTCTACATACTTGGCTGAATGCATGGAGTTCAGTGTAAAGTATACCTACTCCAATATTTAGAATCAGTTTTTATTCTCTTTGAAATAGGTGCCAGACATAAAACCCAAATTTGTGTTTAACCTAGAATTCACTTATCAAGTTCGAGCATTAAAGTTTGTTTTCTTCCAGCAAAGCATTGGGAGACAAAATTCTCCTGTGCCATTTTGTGATCTCTACGGAATTTTGAAAAAAATGCTATGCATAGTAATCTATCATTTAACTTGTGGTTTTGGAATAGGTGAGAGTATTCCAAATAATGTTTTTGAAAAGATATTGCATGATGGTTGTTGTAGGTGAGTGTAAAAGGGCCTTAAAAGTGCAGGTTTCAGCTATAAATATATACATCTATAATTCTATAGCCATATTGTGGCTGTAATTCTATCAAAATGTAGACAAAGCAATCTAGCCATTTAAAATTGCCCATCCCCAAAGTAATATATTTTTTTTACTTCAAATAATGAAACTGTTTTATTTTGAATGCTCTCAAAGCTACTACATTTTAACTGTAATGTTAGTATCTTTATACAGCTGTGGGAGATGGAATTCATGTAATAAATCTTGCTGCTTTTAAAAACGGCCTGCTCCATTACAGGTGAAATTGGACATGCACTGTGAGGCTAATACTTGAAAGAATGTGGCCTTATTTTTTTTTAATAACATCATGTTATAGGATGCTGACTCTTATATGTTTATATGACTGTCTTCCACCTGTTCTGTGTTAGAACAATCCTCCCTCTGATGATAGATTGGCTTTTAAAAATCCTTCTGGAAGATGTTATCTTTTACTGCACTCTGAACTTTTAAAGATTGCTTCATTTAAGGATACATTTTTGTACATATTTCACA